CAATTTGGGATGCAAAGGCAGTTCTATGTGGAAAAAATAATGAGCATTTTGGTTATTTGCAAAACGATTCATTTTGGTAATTAACTCATATGGTGATCCTTCTGAAAGAAAAATATTGATGTAAATCAATTGGTGATCTTGTAAGGATTTCTCTAAGAATAACGAATGTATCTGCGTTGATTTCCCCATTTTTGAATATTTGGAGGTGAATATTTGGATATTTTTGCTTCTGGTTTGGTCTTTTTGGAAAATGGATTGGAATTTCTCTTTTGAAAAAGTCTCCATTGAATTTTTAACAGGAAAATTTGGGAAATGATAAACCAAGGGAAAAGTACCCAAAATGTTTTCGTGATAGAATATTATCATTGAGAAATGAATTTTATGCTTTATTTCTCTCAATTTTTGGATGAAGAATTCCAGGCATTGTTTCGATAATTTTTCTGCATGAAGAACAGAAAAGAGAAAGTTTCCTTTTTGTGATTTTGTATTGTATATTTGATAAACAGAAAAGAATTTTTCAATATCAGATCTTGTTGTTGATTGAGAATCACAAATCAAAACATTTTCTCTAAGAGGAAACTTGCAGCAATATCCCAGATAGAGTGATGTGATAATATCGTAAATTTGGAGTTCTTCTTCCAATTGATAAAAACAAATTGTGTATTATTTTGTGCTTTCTTGAACATGTTCTTGATGAAATTGTATTTTTGTGAATTTTTGGAAATTGGATTCTCAACAGAAACTATTCTTGATTTTGTTGATTGAGATAATTTATCAATTTTGAAAACACTATCCAAAAGTTGGACAAATGAAGTAAGGTTTAATTTTTTCAAGTTTTGGAAAAGCAACAATTTCTTGAATTGCATAATTTTGGGTATGTGTATATCGGAAAAGGCACAAGAAAAAAGGTAAAGTAATTGAGAAGAAGGAATAGGGTTGTGAATGTTTAAAAACTCGTTTGCAATAAAAAAGAATTGTTCTTTTGAAAAAATGGAAAAAATCAAATATTGCGACGAAATTTGAGAGACTTCGTTATCCCATTCTTCAAGTTTGCGATTCAATTTCTGTTTTTGTTGTGCCAATTTTGTGAGGAATTGGTCAATTTTATCAGTAAACTCATATTCAATGATAGATTCGTAGATGTTCGCAAAATCGATATAATAAGATTTTTTCAATTGTTTACATATTTGAGAAATTTGATCAATAATCGGGAAAATTTGTTGGAATGATTTAATGAATAACTGGATTGAAGATGATTCTTGACTGAAATCAAGAATATTGCAAATGCGGTAGATTTGAGAAAAATTGGAAAAGGTATATTCTGTTAGATCCTTTTCATTTAGTGTGCATATGAAAGATGTGATTTTTCTTGGAAAATAATTGAAAATGAGATTGAAATTATGATCTTTAAAAATAAGCGACAATTTTCGAATGATGACTTTTTTAATAGAGACCCAATTTTTGTTGACTAAATTAGAAATTTGAGGTGTAATTTTAACAAGATTTTCGAAATGAGACATAAAGTTAATATTCTTTTTTAGTAGTAAGGATTTAACCAAACTAGAAAATGATTCAAAGGGAGACGCCGAATAAACAACATCTTTGATGATATTTCTGAAGCTAGAAATTTGCTGAATAATATACTCAGAATAATTTAGAGATTGAAGAAAAACCGCGAAATCTTGTTCCACTTTAAACTGACTAAAGATGGTGACTAATTGATAGAAGATATACAAATATGTATCAGAGGAAAAGAGGTTCTGTTGAGCGTATAAAGCCTCTTCCAGTATTTGCGATAAATTGGGTAATTCCTGTAGTTGTCTTTGATTTTGCCAAAAATTTGAGAAAAAATTTGAATATCTTTCGAATGAAAATTTGAAACAAGAGAAAAAATAAACAGTTTCGTTCCATAATGACTCCATCTTTTTCTTGTATTCTTTGTAACTAATGATTTGCTTGACGATTTCCGTTATTTGATTTTCGGGTTTTTTCTCTTTATTGAGAAAATTTATTAACGAAGTCAGAGAACTTTGAATATCTTGATTTTCTATTTTGTTGAAGAGGTTATTGAGTCTTTGGAAAGTGATTTCCTTTGTAAAAATTGATTCCAAATTGATTTTTTCTTGAAGAAACGATGATAATTTGTCTTGGAAGTCATGAATAGAAACGGGAGGATTATTGATCATAATTGGAAGAAATTCCAAAAGAAGTAAAGATTGTGAAATTTTGTTTTTCTGTAAATAAAAAATATTTTTCAAAACAGATTCATCGAAAGAAGAGGTTTGAATTTGATTTTCAAGTTCTTTGAGTGAATATTTCTCAGCAATTTCAAGTTTTTCCATTGATGCAATTAATTCTTGAGTATTTTGACTTCCATAATCAAAAATGAAAGTGATATTATCAATTTTTTCTTGATTAACTTCATCGAATGGCACATTTTCTCTAAGCCATTTAAAGCAATCTTTTTTTTCTGAAAATTGGTTGTATTTAGCTTCTATATCTTGGAAGTTTTTGTTAGCTATTTCCCATATTGTTAAATAGAAATGGGAATTTTGAATAATTGACTGGAGTTGAAGAAAAGAAAGATTGAGACTTTCTGTTTTGGAAACAAATTCCATGATATTTTTTTTGTAATTTCTAACTTCTTCATAATATTGAAATAAAATGATTTTGTTATCAATTTGCTCTATCCATTTAAAGAGAAGGATCCAATATGGATGTTTTCTTTCTTTTAATTCCAAGTATTTGAGGAAATAGTCAACAGAATTTGGGTTTTTTTCTTTGAATTTTTTAACAAATAGATCCCATAGTTGAATTTGGAGATTTCGTGAAAGTTGTTTTAAGTGATTTTTTTCATCGAATTGGATACTTTCTGTGTCCAAATTTTCTGCCTTTTCGTTGAGAAATTCAAGAAGAAATTTTCTCAAGAAGTAAGGATATTGATCAACATATAAAAATAATTTTGTGTCTTGGAAATGAAGAATCCATTCTCTTGGTGTATATTTTGGAGAAAATTGTGTTCGAAATGAAGTAATAATAACTTCCTTCATTAGTGATAAGAAATTTCGAATATTTTCATTATTTTCATTATTTTGAATATTTTGATTATTTTCATTATTTTCATTATTTTCATTATTTTCATTATTTTCATTATTTTGATTATTTTGATTATTTTCATTATTTTCATTATTTTGAATATTTTTATTATTTTCATTATTTTGATTATTTTGATTATTTTCATTATTTTCATTAATTTGATTATTTTCATTAATTTGATTATTTTCATTATTTTCATTATTTTCATTAATTTGAATATTTTCATTATTTTCATTAATTAATTGCTTGACCTTCTTGTAAATTTGTGACCAAAATAAACAAAAATCAATGAAACTATCAAAATTAAATTTCGGAATTAGCTGAAAAAGAGGAATTCTCAGGTTTTTATAAATAAAAACTCTTAGTAATTTTGAATCAACAGCTAAATGTTCGAAAAAAAGCTTGGTTAATTTCTGTGAATGCAAATAAACTCTCTCATCAAACAACTTGAGCAAAGTGTAGAAAAAATCATCAGGTTCAGGTTCTTTGAGAAAAAACACAATCAATTGATCCAAAACTTTTCTTTCATCCAACATTTCAAATTTCTTGGTATTATTTATCGATTGTGATTTAATAAGAAAAACAAATATGGAAACTATATAAGAATCACCAACATTATAAAGTATTTTTTCAAAAAATGAGAAGAAAAACTCTCTCATTTCCTTTAAATAGGTATTTTCTTCTTTTGAAAAATCTTGGATAACACCAAAGAATTTGGGAAGAAAATCAGATCCTGAAATTTTGTAAAAAAATTGGAAATCAAACGAGCTGCAATACATCATTAAGAAAAAATGGGCAAGTAAATAACTGTATGGATGTTTGGTTTTTGCATCAAATGGAAGGGACTTAAAAAAACGATCCAAAACAACATATATAAATTCATTAAATCTTATTTTTTTTGGCTTGAAAAATTTTTTCCTGAATTCTTGGATTGCTTGATAATATAATTTGAATCGAATGTTGATTAAGTTGTTTTCAGGAACAACTTCTTTTTGAATAATTGCATTTAAAAAGTCGATCAAAATGTCTTGGTTTAATTTTTGCTTTGTGATGAAATAGAAAGCATGGTCAGATTGCGATTCTGAGTTATTAAATACAAATCCTTTCTTTCTAAATGATGGAATTTTAATATCAAAAAAATAATTGGTTTTTGGAAGCGGGTTAAATAACCAACAACTAAACCAAACATGTGAATTTTCTTCTACTTTTATCATTTCAAGTTCTTTTGTTTTTGTTTCTATTATTGGTATTATGTTTGAATCTGTTAATTTTACATATACATAAACATGAAGATATTTATCTTTTTGTTCCATTTATTTTTTTTTAATAAGAAAAGAAAAGAAAAAAATGAAAAAAATTAAAACAAGAAAAAAAATTAAAACAATTTAAAATAATTAATTCCACTTTTTTTTAAATATATTTTATTAATAAATATTTTATTAAATTTAATTATAAGTATTTATATTTTTATTTAAAATATTTTATTCCACTTTTTTTTGATTATATTTTATTAATAATTATTTTATTAAATTTAATTATAAATATTTATATTTTAATTTAAAATATTTTATTCCACTTTTTTTAAATATATTTTATTAATAATTATTTTATTAAATTTAATTATAAATATTTATATTTTAATTTAAAATATTTTATTACATTAATTATTTTATTAAATTTAATTATAAATATTTATATTTTAATTATAAATATTTTTAAAATTAAATTTTAAAAATGAAAATAAATTAAATAATAAATCAAAATTAATTAAAAAATTAAATAAAAAATTAATTAAAAAAATTAAATAAAAAAATAATAAAAAAAAAATTAAAAATAATATTTATAAACCTAAAATTTTTTGTTTTAAAAAATAAGAAAAAAAGAAAAATATTTAAATTAAAAAAGGTCGTTTAGCTCAGTCGGTAGAGCGCTGTGCTAATAACGCAGATGTCACTGGTTCGAACCCAGTATCGACCATTTATTTTTTTTATTTTTTTTTTATACTTTTTTTTTAAATTAAATTTAATTAACATTTATTAATAATTATTTTATTAATTTTAATTATAAATATTTATATTTTTATTTAAAATATTTTATTCCACTTTTTTTGATTATTTTTATTAATAAATATTTTATTTAATTTAATTATAAATATTTATATTTTTATTTAAAATATTTTATTCCACTTTTTTTAAATATATTTTATTAATAATTATTTTATTAAATTTAATTATAAATATTTATATTTTTATTTAAAATATTTTATTCCACTTTTTTTAAATATATTTTATTAATAATAAATACATTAAATTTAATTATAAATAATTATATATTTTATTCCACTTTTTAAATATATTTTTATTAATAATTATTTTATTAAATTTAATTATAAATATTTATATTTTAATTTAAATTATTTTATTCCACTTTTTATTATATTTTATTAATAATTATTTTTATTTAATTTAATTATAAATATTTATATTTTTATTTAAATTATTTTATTCCACTTTTTTTAAATATATTTTATTAATAATTATTTTATTAAATTTAATTATAAATATTTATATTTTAATTTTAAAATATTTTATTCCACTTTTTGATTATATTTTATTAATAATTATTTTATTAAATATATAATTATAAATAATTATATTTTTATTTAAAATATTTTATTCCACTTTTTTAAATATATTTTATTAATAATTATTTTTATTAAATTTAATTATAAATATTTATATTTTAATTTTAAAATATTTTATTCCACTTTTTAAATATATTTTATTTAATAATTTTTTTTAAATATAATTATAAATATTTATATTTTAATTTAAAATATTTTATTCCACTTTTTAAATATATTTTATTAATAATTATTTTTTAATTTTAATTATAAATATTTATATTTTAATTTAAAATATTTTATTCCACTTTTTAAATATATTTTATTAATAAATATTTTATTAAATTTAATTATAAAATAATTATATTTTAATTTTAAATTATTTTATTCCACTTTTTAAATATATTTTTATTAATAATTATTTTATTAAATTTTAATTATAAATATTTATATTTTTATTTAAAATATTTTATTCCACTTTTTTTAAATATATTTTATTAATAATTATTTTATTAAATTTAATTATAAATATTTATATTTTTAATTTAAAATATTTTATTCCACTTTTTAAATATATTTTATTAATAATTATTTTATTAAATTTAATTATAAATATTTATATTTTTATTTAAAATATTTAATTCCACTTTTTTTAAATATATTTTATTAATAATTATTTTATTAAATTTAATTATAAATATTTATATTTTAATTTAAAATATTTTATTCCACTTTTTAATTATTTTATTAATAAATATTTTTTAATTTTAATTTAAATATTTATATTTTTAATTTAAAATATTTTATTCCACTTTTTAAATATATTTTATTAATAATTATTTTATTAAATTTAATTATAAATATTTATATTTTTATTTAAAATATTTTATTCTACTTTTTTTAAATATATTTTATTAATAATTATTTTATTAAATTTAATTATAAATATTTATATTTTAATTTAAAATATTTTATTCCACTTTTTTTAATTAACATTTATTAATAATTATTTTATTAAATTTAATTATGAATATTTATATTTTAATTATAAATATTTTTAAAATTAAATTTTAAAAATGAAAATAAATCAAATAATAAATCAAAATTAATTTAAAAATTAAATAAAAAATTAATTAAAAAAATTAAATAAAAATTTAAATAAAAAAAAAATTAAAAATAATATTTATAAACCTAAAATTTTTAGTTTTAAAAAATAAGAAAAAAAGAAAAAAAATTTAAATTAAAAAAGGTCGTTTAGCTCAGTCGGTAGAGCGCTGTGCTAATAACGCAGATGTCACTGGTTCGAACCCAGTATCGACCATTTATTTTTTTTATTTTTTTTTTATACTTTTTTTTTAAATTAAATTTAATTAACATTTATTAATAATTATTTTATTAAATTTAATTATAAATATTTATATTTTTATTTAAAATATTTTATTCCACTTTTTTTAAATATATTTTATTAATAATTATTTTATTAAATTTAATTATAAATATTTATATTTTTATTTAAATTATTTTATTCCACTTTTTTTGATTATTTTTATTAATAATTATTTTATAAATAATCAATGTCAAATTGTCAAAATGAAATCATCGAAAAGAAAATAAAAGATTTTTCTCAAAATATTTCTGATCCATTTTTCTTTTTAATTCAAAAAATGATCAACTCAAGATTCTTAAATGATGAAGAAGAAAAAGAAAGAAGAAAAATTGAATTTAGAAGAAAAGCAGATCAAGAAAGAAAAAAAAGATTTTTCAATGAAAAAATAAGATTGTTTGGAATTGATAAAAAAGGAATTGAAGTGCAAAAAAAAGAAAAAGAAAAAGAAAGAAAAGAAGAAGAAAAAGAAAAAAAGTAAAAATGGAATAAAAAAAAAGTGGAATTTTTCATTTTGTTTTTTTTTGTTTTGATAGAAAAATGGAAAAAGAAATTTTAAAACATCAAGAAGTTTTAAAAAAAAAAGAAGAGGAAATGTCAAATGTCAAAAAAATAATTGCTTTACAAATTCAAAATGAAAATAAACAAAAAAGATTGAATGTCAAAAATGATAAAGAAAATCAAGTTGAACATATTGGACTTGTTTCAAAAGGAGTTTTAATAGGAGAATCACAATCAAAACCTACAAGATTAGATTTTAGAGGATTAAATTATGAAGAAAAAAATCAAATTTCAAGTCAAAATTCTCAATTAATTGAAAAACAAAAAGAAAAAAAGCAAAAATTAATTCAAAAAAGAAAAATAATTCCACTTTTAAATCAAGAAAAATTTTTGATTGAAAAGAAAAGAAAATATTCAAGATTTAATAACAAAAATAAAAGAAAAAAAGTAAAATAATTGAAGAAGAATTCTTTGATTATTTTCAAAATTCTTCAAGATAAAATAAAACAAACAAACAAATTACGTCATTTATAGTCATTTTTATTTAATTTTAATTTAATTAAATAAAAAAATTTTTTTTTTCTTTCATTTTTTCATTTTTTCATTTCCAAATCATTTTTAAATTTCAAATGGAAATTATTCTTGATAATTCTTCAATTTCAAATTCACTTTTTATCTTTTCCAAATTGCATCCAAAACCAAATTTTACTTTTCGAAAAGAAATAGAAGAAAAACCAACAATTTTACCTGCAATCAAATTGAATGACAAAGAGACAATAGAAGGAATAACAACAACAGCAAAATATTTAGCAAAAACAATGAATAAAAAAGCAATCAACCAATTTTTTTTTGAAAATAATAAAGAAAATTCTGCTCAAGTTGAACAATGGATTTCATTTGCGAATTCATTTGAAGAAGAAAAAGCAATTGATTCCAAAAGAATTATTCGCCAACTTAACAATGTTTTGGAGGATCGAGTGTTTTTTGTTGGAAATCAATTTAGTTTTGCGGATATTATTATGTTTTCTACGTTGTATTCAACAATTAAAGATATTCCAGTTGAAGATTATAGAGGATTTTCTAATTTGATTAGATGGTTTGATAATATTCAACATTTGCCGGAGATTTCAAGTATTAGTGATTCACCATTTAGTATGATTCCAATTTCAACATTTGTACCTTATCATATTAATTCCAAGAAAGCAAAACCAAATGAAAATGAAAATTTGAATAAAAAATTAAATGAAAATCAAAATCAAAATCAAAATCAAAATCAAAATCAAAAAAAAGGAAAACCTTCTCAAGAAGAAATTCAGAAAAGAAGAGAAATGAAAAAACAACAAAAAAAGGAAAAAAAAGAAAAAAATCAACCAACTGAACCCGAACAAGATACAACTCCAATAACAAACCACATCAATCTTCAAGTTGGTATTATTCGGGAAATAAAACCTCATGAAAAAGCAGACACATTATATATTGAAGAAATTGATGTTGGAGAAAAAACAACAAGAACTATTGTGAGTGGAATTCGACCATTTTATACAGTTGATCAATTATTGAATCAAAAAGTTGTTGTTATTACTAATTTGAAACCTGCAAAACTTCGAGGTGTTTTGAGTTCGGGAATGCTTCTTGCTGCTTCAAATCCCGACCATACAAAGGTTGAAATTGTTTCTCCTCCTGAATCAAGTGAAATTGGAGAAAGAATTTGTTTGGGTGAAAAAATTGAAGGTCAACCTGATAGAGTTTTAAATCCAAAAAAGAAATATTGGGAAACTGTTCAAATGGATTTAAAAACTAAAGATGATTTGGTTGCTTATTATAAAGATTTTCCTTTAAAAACAAAATCAGGGAATTGTGTTGTTAAATCATTGAAGGGAGCTAAAATCAAATAAAGATTAAATTAAATCAAAAATCAAAATTAAATCAAAAATCAAAATTAAAATTAAAAATCAAAATTAAATCAAAAATCAAAATTAAATCAAAATCAAATCAAACTCAATAAATTTTCTTCTTTTCTTCTTTTATTTCTCTTTCCATTTTTTAATCTCCAAAAAAAAAAAAATTAATTTTTCTTTAATAAATCTTTTTCAAAATTCTTCTTTAATTCTTTAAAAAATTGAACTGCATCATTAAGTGGAACTTTAGCATCTTTAATCATATTAAGATAAGACCAAAAACCATGAGGAAGTGAATAAACTCTTAAAGAAACAGGAGAAAAAGATTTTTTTAAACGATTTGCAAACAAAACAGAATCATCAAGTAAAGGATCCATAATTCCAGCTTGAATAACGGTTTTTGGAAATTGGGATAAAATTTGATCAGAAGCAAAAAGTGGAGATAAAAAAATCTCTTTTTTAGGATCAAAACCATTGGAATCTGGATTGTAACTTTGAAGACAGACTTTAAGAAGTCCATAAGAAAAAAAGGGATCGCAATTAAAAAGTGCTCTTGAAAGAGTGTGATCAA